GCTGTGTTCATCACCTTTTCCATTCAGCTTGGATTTGGTTCTTCAGTGGCAAAAAATCAAGAAAACTTACATCAGTTATTACAGATGTAAAAGTCAACTGGGAGTCAGTTATGGTGGCATGAAAGGTTCAAGTCAAACAAAAATTGTCATCAGCTGGTCAAATAACAGTGACATGTTGGCCAGCTTTGCTAAACTGGTAAAGAAACACTGGATCCAATGGAAGGACTTTAATGTGGTCTAAAATTTCATTTTCTTGTATCTTCTTAAAGAAGATACAAATTTTATGCTAACAATATTACTTGTTCACGGCTAATAATTTGAAGACTTTTGAATTTGAGTACACTTATTTTTGAGATTTTTTTCCATGTTTAAAAGATAATATATGAAAAATAAAATAATGTATCTTTCCAGCAGAAACTTGAGAAAACGGAAACGCTTCAACAGGAAAATAAAAAATAACCCACAATTTCCCAGCTGAGAGATAATCAAGTTTGGTGGGAGATAGGATTCTCATATGAGATAATTTAGGATTGCATCATGAAAGAAAGATCAAACTTCATTCTGATTTTACTGTGGTTTACTTTTTGTGTTGGAAAGTTATTCAATGAACACATCTGGGGAAATGAGATTTGGGATATGGAATTTATCTAAAACCATTAGGGCCCTGAGACAACAGAAATCTCTGCTTTGTTTTAAATGAGCTCACAGCAGCAAAAAGAAATATTTATCCATAAGAAGAAACTCTCAGGGTCCATTTTCTCCTCTTCACTAACATTTACCCAGTCCTGGTGTGCCTCGCATGTAAGGTTCAGCATGTATTATGTATTGTTACTAATACATGGCTGCTGAGATCTCACGCGGGTGCTGACAAAATGAGAAACCACTATGGGATGGGGCTGAAAGAAGAATCCTTAAGTCAGAGGAGACCTCTGGTGAACCCTTGGGGATACACATTTTCCATGGTGTAAGTTGGTTTCCTCTTTCTGTGCTCTGCAGATTGAAAAGAAGAGCCGTGAACTGCCAGAAAACTGTGGAGAAACAAGGATCCAGGTGCTCGGGGGAGCAGGGAGCAGCCTGAGAACAGGTTCAGCTCCAGGAGGCCACACCAGGTGGCGTGAAGATGTCTTCTCTTATATAACATGTCAACTAGGGGGTGACAGCAGTTGGGAACCCACAACCTTAGAATCCCCTATTTTACCCAGCCCCTCTAGATTTCCTAATAGTTCTTTTATAAATAAAATTACGATATTTTCATGTCCTTTAGAGTTGTTTTTAAGTTTTGAAAGTGAAGAGCGTACAAGTAAGCCAGAATGAGAAAAAGGAACTGTAATTCTCAAACACTTGAAAAGGAAACATTACCCACCCCTTTGTTGAGGAATTTCTTAGAATGGATAATGGCCCATCTAGAAACTTTCTGCTGGAAGCCAGGCATTGTTCCATGGGCCCTACAGGTCCAGGCTGCCCTCTCCTCTGCTTTACATCCGAGGAAGTCAAAGCTCAGAAGGGTTAACAGTAGGAACCAGAATCCCAACCAGGAAGTGGGCTTAGCTACCAGACTTGGCTGATTCTGATCTATTTCCTCAAATTCAAACCCAACACTCCCTTACCATGATCACCCAGAGTGTGACCCCTCCACAGTGAGAGGCAGTGAGGGGAATGGTTGACGCCGAGCACTCTGGAGCCACACGCCGGGGCTTGCACCAGAGTGCTGGCAATAGTCCAGTGGCTTGTCCCGGGCAAGCCATATAATCTCTCTAAACTTTATTTTCTTTCTCTATAAAATGGGCAAGATCATGCCTATCACAGGGGATTGTTTAGGGGAACTAAGTAAGACTGTGCTTAAAAGGGACTTGGCAGAATGTCTGGCTCACAAGAGTGAATGGCACTCATTATGATTCCTGATCATTACTGTCACCTTAGAAACCAGGGAGACCTCTGCATCAACGCCACCATGAAACAGGGTGGATCCTCTGATTAGGGGAAATTCCACAAACAGGGTGCAGAGAAGTGTGTGTGTGTGTGTGTGTATGGGGGATGATGGAGGAGCCGCATCCAGGAAAGAAGTTAAGAGCTCCTCTCAAATGGACATGGGGGCGTTTGGGTCCCATACATTTGGCTAGTGGAGAGAGAAACATGGGGGAGGCAGAAAAGGGGGTGAAAGGAGGCTGGGATGACCTTCGGCTGCTAAGCCTGGGGAGGACTGAGATGGGGCTGGGAACCAGTAAACACAGGACCTCAGTGGGAACCAAAGTCCAGGTCCCTCGCTTTCCCAATGCTGACTGCACAAACCCAGCAAGAGAATAGATTCTGATGGGGATGAGACTTCTAAGACCAGAGAGAAGTTAGAGTCCTGGTGGAGCAGACAAACAGTGTGGGCTGCAGCCCCTCAGAGGAGATTCAGCTCAGCCATCCTCCGGACTGCAGGGAGATCTATTTATTTCATGACTAGCATGTGAAAAGAAGAATGCTTCCTTCCATCTTGGCGGGGGGCTCTGGAATGTCCAGTTACAACACTAGTATATGCTATCAAGAGACTTCATATCCCACGCCTCTTGCTGTCACTGGTATGTCAGTCCTGAGATAGTCCGGAAAGGAACAAGAGCCAGTACCTTTCTGATAACATTTAAAATCCTTGGATTTATATAATGTGACATGATGGCAGGGTCATTGTTTAGCTCTTGGCTTAACTATGTATGCCCAGGGCAGAACACCAAAGGAAAATGTCTCCTTTGAAAGCTTTCTCAGAACAAATTGAGGGAATTCGCTGGTTAATGCAAATACATGCCCAAACAAGTCCTGGCTTGCCTCGGGACTGGCAAAGCTCACTGGCGTGTGGAGCGTAAGGGATGCTTCATCTTAGCCGGGGATCCTGGGAGTCTGTAATGCAGGCTGTGCGGTATCGCCTGTGTATCTCTTTGGGATGTGGACTGACTGTACCCACAGTGGAAGACAGGCCATAGAAAGTACTTAGTTCCCAAATGTCTCAGGCTGTACAAGATGCAGATAGGTCTGTCTTTCTTTCTTTCTTTCTTTTTTTTTTTTTTTTAAGACATTCTTGCTCTTTTACCCAGGCTAGAATACTGTGGCATCAGCCTAGCTCACAGCAACCTCAAACTCCTAGGCTCAAGCAATCCTCCTGCCTCTGCTTCCCAAGATGGAACTTCCCTGCCACAACACCTGGCTGATTTTTCTGTTGTCAGTAGAGACAAGGTCTCACTCTTGCTCAGGCTGGTCTCGAACTCCTGAGCTCAAATATACTCCTGCCTCAGGCTCCCGGAGTGCTAGGTTGTAGGCATGAGCCACCATGCCGAGCCATACAGATGATTCAGTAGCTTATAAATAAATCTGCAGAAATACAACCAGAGTTTCCAGGGTGAAGAACTTGCCTTTCCCCCAGGCAGGCAAATATGAATGCAAAATAATGAGATCGTATTTGTGGTGGGGGTGGGAGTGGAGAACAAAGGACTGATTTTTAAACTAAGGCTACAGGGAGTTCCAGATTTGTTTTAAACATTGTGGCATCCTTGGAATAACTGTGTAGCCTCCTACTTCACTCGACTCGTTTGAAAGGTAACAGTCATTTGAATATCAAGTTCATATGCATAAAGCACATCAGTTCATTTTTAAGACATAACTTTAGTCACATTGTATCTGTGAGTTCCAATCATTTGAATTTTTTTTTTTTAAATCACAGAAAGTCAAAGGTATAAGGTTTATATGGGGGAAGAAAGCTGGCAAGGAGATTAGGAAAATAAATGTTTCTCCAGTCCTTGCCAATGCCTTCACTAGTTGATGGAGGGGCGGATGGATGAACTCTACCACATGCTTGTTCTGGGGTCCCCCTTCTGGATGTCATCTTAGATCAGCGGTTCTCAACCTGTGGGTCGCAACCCACAGGGACTGTATTAAAGGCTCATGGCATCAGGAAGGTTGAGAACCACTGCCTTAGCTCCAGCCACAGGGTGTAACTTACTGGCAGCGAATCCCCTTTCAGCTCAGATCCAGGGCATTATGTGATTGTTTATGCAAAGTGTGTGAAGTACTGTACTGACCTTCATTTTATATTTCTACTCCAGCTGGAGCAAAATGCTCCATGGAGACTGGGCCTCTCAAAGAGCTCCCGGCTTGTGGTGGGATTAAGGACAGTGGTGGGGTGTTTGGAAGAACACTATCCACTTCTTCAGGCTTAAAGGAGGGGATGGTGACCCAGAACTCAGGACAAAAGAGTCCCAAGGGGCAGCAATGCTGGAAGGAGGGCCCTCTGCTGTGTGTGTTTGTATATCAAAGAGAATTTGGAATTATAAAAAGAAATAAGAAATTCTCTATGCTAAGATAATTTCTGAAGTGTTAAAACCTGATAAGAAGCGAAATTAATGTGAAATAAACTTGCCAGGCAAAAACTCTCTTATCCGATAACTTTGGCCCCTCACACTTAGGACTTCAACAGACTCAGTGAAGATTTCTCATGGTTTATCTACTCCAGTATTTAAAAACAAAACAGGTCAGTGCGTTCTCCGTGTAAGAGGTAATTCTGGAATACGTTTTAACTGGACTAAGGAAAACGTACATTTTCACTTGTTACCTAGTAAAGTTAAAGCCGTCGCTCTCTGGGGTCATTTCCTCTGTTCTCATTTGTGTTTGCTGCCCGTCCCCCCCGCCCCGCCACAAAAGCAACAACAAAAAACCCCAAGCAAAAAAGCCCTTAAGCAATAAAACTAGTGTCCAAGAAAAACATTTAGTTTGAAAAAGAGTTGAAAAATGTAGCCTTGGAAGGCCCACTGCTTACACGGGATTGTTCAACAAATTCCTGTTGTGTGAGGTTTGGCATATCCTTTCTAAAAATATAAGCATCTGGGGAAGCGAGACAAAGCCCAGGTCTTGGACCCAACGAGGCACACAGTGTGAATCTGTTAGTGATTATATCCATAATGAAATATGTGCCCAAATTTAGCAGTGTAAAACCTAATACAATACGAAAGCCCAGCAGGAATGGTCCTTACCATAATATATAGCCAACAGAGAAGGTGCATATGGCGGTGAGTCCGCTGCTCCTGCTGGGATACTGATGGTGCGACGTCCTCATCTCGATTAATATAAAGGGCAAAACCGTCGTGTGCTGAAAAAGAACAGAGACTAGGTGACACAGATTCTTATCATCGCCTCTCTGTAATTGTTTTTTTTTTTTTTCTCCAGGAAGAGAATGCCTGCTGCACGTTCCCGGGAATGCGCTGAGCAGAACGCAGTCCGCGGTTCACTGAAGAGATAGTGCGGACACAAAATCATGTAGTGCATGCATCATCAGTTGGTCCACTGGTATTTTCCTTGTGTATTAATTTTCGAAATTTTATCTTTCCAGTCATGGGAAATGTTCTACCGCATAGAAAGAGGTATAGAAAAAGAAACTGGAACGTAAGAATGGAATAAAAATAACCACTGTCAACATTTGGGGTGCTGTCCTGGTTCTTCCCTCCCTGGGCATATCACTTACACGTGGTTAAGATCCTCCTGTGTGTGCAGTTTTGCCTGGAAATTGTATCACAATATTTTAGCATAAGAATGTTTGATAAGTCATTTTAGAAATTCTTCTAGAACATCAGCTCTGACCAGAGCTGCCTACAACGCCATTCTATGGATGCCCCAAGATGTATTTCACCAATCCCTGTTCTCACACATGAATATGTAAAAGGTTTTCAAGTTTTCATTTATTAAAAAACAGCACCATGAACATCTTTGATAGAACTCTTTGAATGTTAAATGATTTTTTTTATAGCCAAAGGCCACCAAGGTTTCCAGGCTGCTGATACATAATGCCGGATAGAATGCCAAATTCTGTGTGTCTGCACAGCAGGTTGGGAAATGATGCCAAATTAGCTTGCAGAAAGGGTGTGCCAGTTTGCCCCAGCAGTGCACACATTTAGAAAGGATGTTTGAAGACAGAATCCGAGGAAGCCAAGTGGAACATTACCTTTGTTTTTTTGATCTGATGGCTACTTTGGATGCTAAGATCTGTGGACCAGGGTGGAGAAGAAATGTATCCCACCCACGGGTAAGAAGAAAGAAAAGTCAAGTTTTTACATCCCTCAGAGATCCGATCAGTGGATAGATATCAGAGCAAAAGAGTTTTTTAGATAAAACTAGGTCAGGATTTATGTTTATTTCCAATGCTGGAGATTTTCTGGAGAGTACAAATATGGAAGAACTGAAAACTGACCCACTAGCAGGCTTACATTCTATTTAATTCCTCCTAAACGGCCATCACAAAAGCCTTGTCCTGCTCTGCTGTAATGTTTGCGTATTCAAGGAAAAGGCAGGAAATTGAATGTTACGATTTTCAAACTCTAACACCTATTTTAGTAAAATGGAACCAGGTGGTAGGTAGACCTGGGCAGGCAAAAGACATGTTGGGGATATCAAGGTGAATGTCCTTAAACCAACTTATTGTTTATATTCTTAAAAAAAAAGAAAAGAAAGAAAGACACAATTTTATAAGAAGTATCAAGACCTGACATTGTTTGCTTCAAATATTCTCCTGGGGGTAACAATTCTGACTGCCGATACATTAGTAATTAGAGTGTGCCATTCCCAGAAAGTCAGGTGAGTGATCCCACAGTTGGGTGGCTTTGTATTTCTTTATCTTTCACCTTACCTATTATTATTGTTTTAAAACACTATAATTAGCTCTGAAGGGAACCATACAAAATGCATATGTGTGCTAACTCAGAGAATGTATGCATTTTAGAGATCTATTGGTTTTTCATTATAATCTAGTTACCTCAGATGACCTTGGGACCGAAATTTCACCAACAGTTTGCCGGTGCCGATAATAGTTTTACAATGGTGTATTCATGTAAAATTCAAATATATAGCTAGTAATGAGGCTCTGTCTTACCAAATCTTACATAAAAAAAAGTATGTGCAAATCAAACCTTTAAACTGAACCAAAAAAATGCTAATCTGATGGCCTGGGCAGATCATAAATGAAATCATTTTTGGCTCATTGGTGTTCAGGAACTTCTAAATTCCACCTCTTCATTCATTTCTCCAAACCACGAAGTAGATCATCCACTTTTCTATAAGTTTATGTTGGTTACATACGTGACCACTCTGAATATGCTTCGTTATCCAGTTATCACTATTTGATCTAGCCCAGGTGCTGATCATCAGAGGTCATGCACGGAAGGGGCAGGATATGCTCTGACCACGTCAGGCAGAAAAGCCAGTTGAAAAAGTAAGATCTTTCTAGATCACGTCATCGCTGGCATCGTCACCCCTAAAAAGGAGCAACTGGTCCCATCAGTAACATAACCACTGACAAAGTATCTTTTTATCCCTGTGGATAAAAAGTATCTTTTTGCTCCCTGTGAATGGGCAAGTTTGTACAATGGCCAATCTCAAGATATAGGTTTTCTGGAGCAAGGTATTCTAACTGTTCATCATTCCGAATTTTTGTGCACTGGAAAAGGTGTATTTCCTCCTCTAAAAATTTATAATGCAAATATGTTTACTCAAAAATAGTCTCTATTAACAAATGCAAAATATTTATTGCAAATATAAATGGTGACCTCCAGGTAACTAAAGTTTTATGTTCTAAAAAAAAAAAAAAAGGTAAAAAATCTATAAATGGTCCTGGCTGAATAACTGAGTAACCTTTAGAATCTTAGTTGTAATTTAAATTGTGCTACAACAAGACGGTAATTATTTTAGAACCACAGGTACAAGAAACAGAGCTCTAATCCATTCTCAGGCACACTCTGCTTTAATGACTTGAGAACCAGGAGGGAAATATTGAACTCCTTAAGATCATCAGCTGCATAAGAAAAGTTATCTTATGTTTTGTTCGTTATGGTATCTGCAGTGCTCAGAGGCAAGCCTGGCACAAAGATGGTGCTCAATCAATATTTGTTGAGATAATTTAATCTTTGAACTAATATCCTAAGTGGGTGTTATTAATTCCATTCTGCAAATGAGGCAAAAAAAAAAAAAAGGCTCAGTAAAGTTAATTATCTTGCTTAAGATCACAGAGCTAGAAGTCTGCAGGTAGGATTCAAAACCAGTTCTAGCTGCCTCCATATCTCATGCCCTTTTTTTTTTTGCATTGGAATTATATTTTAAAAAGATATCAGGGTTGAATAATCTTTGAATCAATAAACCTGTGGGATTACATAATTGAAGGTCACTTACATTATCTCACATCTGATTAGAAGTTTTTTTTTTTTTTTTTTTGCTTGGGCCTCAAAATAAACAAAAACATCTTCACTGTAGAAAATGAATTTTGCTAAATGTCTTTCCTGTGTCATATCAATAATTATAAGCAGTAAAATCGGCCAGCAGGATGTCATAACCTTCCAGTGGCATGATGACAGTTACAGATGGCTGGGAGCATACTCGAGAGTAATTTGTTTTTATTTCCTCACACACAAATACCATTTAAAACTTAACGGTATTCTCTGGTATGGGATCCACTTTAAATAAACAATGTCCGGTTACCGTGGGGGTTCTTAAAGAATTTATTGGACTGTTCTCTGCTATACGCTGTCAACAGAACAATTCACCAGCAGCTGAGTTATTGGGTTAAGAACAAGATCTGACTTGTAAGAGGTAAGTAAGAATAAGGGTTGATGGCCAAGGAATAAACCCGTGATCTTCCATAAAACTCTGTCCTCAAAAGCATGAGCTTCAGATGTAACTAGGGATCCCACCCCAAACTCTTCTATCCACTGTGGCTCATTTTGATGAATAGCTGCACTTAGAAGACTGTGTCTGAACAAAGACACCCAAACCTATTATAGGCTGTTGCATCCTTTGTGTTTTTCCTCACGTGGTTGGTGTGGGCTGCCCGTAATGGAGCAGAGGACCTGTAGGGCTCCCATGGCGAACGTCTACCTATAGAGGGGACCCACCAGGTGCTGTTACCTCCAGGCACAGCAGTCCTCAGACCAAAGCAGAAGGCTGATTCCCGGAAGAACCACAACATAATCATGATGTGAGGACCCTGAAGCAGATGGGACAGGAAAAGTGGGTTTGGGGAAAGAAGCTCAAAGGAAGAAAGCAGAAAAGTGAAGAGGAAAGAGCAGGAACCTGCATCTGAGACCTAGTTCTGGTTATGTCCCTCCTCACTCTAAGACTGGTGGGTTCTTACACATTTGGGAAGCTCAGTATTCTTCCCTGCCAGATTGGGATTGGAGGGTGGTGGATTAAATTCGTGCTTCTCAGACTTCTGGCATGAAGCACTAATGTTAAAAGTTTTGCTATAACACACAATAGGGCTAACTCACCTATGGATTAGAGAGAGCAGACACAGGGCCAGGGGTCATGATACTTTTAGGAGCCCACAGAAATATTTTAATTTCTTTTAAAATCAGAAGAAAAAAATGAACTTTCCAAGTTGAAGATTCTGTTCCCCTTCATGTATACACACATGCACGCCCACTGACGTCAGGAGAGACCCAGGGATACAAAGTGCCTGGGTCTACCGCGGTCATAGTGTGGCCTTGTCATGTTATGTGATTTAAAAATATTTTTTTCTTACTCAGTTCACACTGTTTCTTACATAGATGTATTTAAAGGGAAACTTTATGTAAACTCTCATAAATGGGCTATGACTTGTCATAAATAGAAGATAGCCACCTAAGTGCCATGAGCATGAATTACTCTTAATACATTTTTTCCAGATATGTTCTCTCTGATTCCCAGGCCTGCACCGTGTTATGTAAGGACGTTAGTAAGTAGCAGAAGAGCATTAAAGACATACTAGCATGAGATAGAGGCTCTCTGAAACAGAATCAGAAGGATTTAAAGATCATTCAGAGAGAATTAACTTTTCTCTCTGTGATTTAAGGCTGTTTAGCGCCAGGTCCCTGTGCCACATAAATTATCTCGCATACCACCAGAACTACACAGCCTGCACTGAAATAGATTATTTATGAGTTATAGCTGTACCTTCTAACTACTAGATTAATATCGGAAAAATAGAGAAGAATGAACGGGGGTTTACATACTAATAGAGGGAAGTAATGGTATTTAAAGAAACAGGTTCACGGCCAGGTACGGTGGCTCAGGTCTGTAGTCCTAGCACTCTGGAAAGCTGAGGTGGCCACACTGCTTGAACTCAGCAAG